ATGAACCCTGATACACCTTAGACCAGCTGGTGGTGAGGGGAGGGAGTGGGGACTAGTGTGCATGTGTGGTGGTCATGCCTGGTACTGACCCCATTCTGCACAATGGTAAACACAAAGACATGAGAGATCACGGGCACAGACCTCCCGCACCTGCCACTCTCCAAGCTCCTACACCACACTGACAGCACGATAGCCACCTACAAGAATTCAATAAGCATGCACTTGCTTACAGCCACGAAGTCCTTGATCCCAACTCTGTAGAAGCAGAATGGCGCGCCAACTTTCTAGCAGTGGGTAGCCAGGGTGCAGGAGATACACTGCATGGGAAGCATGACAGCAGACCTTAGACGCCAAACATACAAATGTGCCCTGAAATGGTTTCCATGGACGGAGTTCGTTCATAAAGGGGGAACACTAACCCAGGCACCTGTATAATACCACAGCACGTTCAGGTAGCAGCAGAGGGTGTATGGGGCACAAGCCCCAAATAGACCAAGGGAGCTAAATCACCCCCTTGTAGAATAGGGGACCACCCAGGGTGCCCACACATCAGATTGAAAGGACCAGACACAGAATTGCCACGCCAGGTATGTGGGTCTAGGGGTGGTGGCCAACACACCCACACCCTCTCCCCACCCTCTTTTTTTTTTCTTTCTATTTTTTCATTCCTTTTCCTATTTCCCAAACGCCCCCACATTTCACCACCTCATCTTCATACCGTTTAGAAATAACCACACCACACTATCCTATGCATGACACCAATGGCATACAAAATACGTAGCCGGACCCTGAGACCAATATACAGGAAGGCCTAGCAGTTAGAGAAGATCTACTACCTCAAACCAAAGGTTAGTACTTGAGGTACTGCTCATAACACAAAGACCCGATAAACTCCTTGAGAACTAACACAAACAAACAAAAGGGAAAAACGGGGAGGAGGAAGGGCAGGGAAAGGAGAAGGTAAGGAAGAGGAGGGAAGAAAGTAAGCGGGTATATAAGTTCAAATACTTCTACTGTATGCGCCTGTATGTTGCAAAATACTGTTACAAATTTGCCTGTATTGCTTGACGATAAACAGAAAATAAAGATTGTAAAACAAAAAAAATACAGACAATACAACAGAATCAGACACATAAACAACAAACAAGGATAGTAATTATGTAGTTCAGCACACGTCATGATGCCATTGCTTCTGACGTCATCAACTTTCGCCGACATCGGTAAATCCAGATATCAACATATTAAGTCCGCCAATTTGCCATCTTTAAAAGTCCAATTTAGGCAATATTACTGGGTACTATTATTGACAAACTCACAAATGTCTGTTTTGCAATATTGAATTATACATATCAATGGGAATAATATAGTCAAATACACCAAATACATTTAGTACTTTCCGAACTGTAAGTGGACAGAATAGCAATAAATAAACAAATATATATTTCAGAAACCTTTTGTACTTTAAATGTATAAAAAATTCCTTACATAAAATAATAGAAATGCTTGAGGGATCTAGAGGCTTGGAAAGATGTAAATATATTTAAAATTCCGATAAGCTAAAAATATAAAATATGAAGCATGATTACTAACTATATAAGAACACTCATCTCAAAGTTCATATTTAACCCATTTGGGGACAGAGTATCTAAATTAAAAATCCACTCCATTTCACATTTGCTAAGGATGGATTCAATGTTTCCCTCCCTCCAGTGTTTACTAATCATTTGGATACCACAGCATTTCATTCCTGTAGGGCCTTTATTATGGTGGTCTAAAAAATGCAAAGAAACATTATGATTCTTAGAGGATAGCTGATTAAGAGAATTCTTAGAGGATGTAATCATGTTTCATATTTTATATTTTTAGCTTCTTATCAGAATTTTAAATATATCTATATATTTCTCTATCTTTCCAAGCCTCTAGGTCCCTCAAGCATTTCTGTTATTTTATGTTCTGAATTTTTATACAATTAATATATTTTTGTTGAATATGAATGAATATTTGTAATTTGTGTCTTGTGAGTGGTTGTAGACACTGGGGAAGTCACACTTATTTACTGCAGTGGCGCCATTTTCTCACCTTGTTTTGTACTTTGTGTGAATTGTTTGTATATATCTGAAGTTGAACTTGCCATCCATAACTTAATATTACTGGATGACAGGATCGCCATAAACCCTTTATGCTGTCGATAGTGTATACATGGTTTTAACCATTAGAAATAAAATTAGCTTATTGAAAAATATTTTGTCAGGATATCAGAACCAGTGTTACTATGCTAGCAGCCCACCTAACCACCAGGGAAACTGTTGGACCAACAGTGGATAAGGTTTACAAACTCCCCATTGCCAAAAAGGTAAGAAGGAGGGGGGCTCAGCTAAAAAAATAAAAAAAAGTATTTAAAAAATTGTCTCTTTTGCCAATGGAGGTATTTTCTTGTTTTTTGTGTTATCCTCATTCTCTGGTACTCTCCCCGAGGCCTAAGAGTCTGAGGTTTCTGCACAGTATCTTAGCTGCTCATAGAAGTACACTGTTTTGTACAGTGATCACAGATGTCACACCTGGAATTTGCAGGTCACAGCCCTGAGTGCACCTATCACAACTGGGACTACAACTACCTTCAATTTCACATACTTTATAGCTCCCATTTTAGTCCTCAGTATTTGTCAACCTTTCATGTCCCTTCTTCCTGATGTTATGGTCTCTGGATATTACCACCACCACCACAGCAGTCTTCTGTCCCATGTCTACTATCACGATATCCGGTTGGTTGGCCATTATGCTTGCCTGTCTAGATCTGAAAGTCCAACAGGATCTTAGCCCTGTCCTTCTCAACTATTCTTTGTGGTACCTCCCATCTGGACTTAAACATATTCTGTGCAGATATTTCGGTACACAATCCCAACAATTTAGTTGTGCCTCTCAGTGTAAGCTGTCCCTGCTAATATCTTGCACCTGGCTACTATGTGCTGGATTGCCTCAGAGACCTCGCTGCACAGTCTGCACTTTGTGTGCTGTCTGGTGTGGTAGATCCCTGCTTCTTCTGATCTGGTGCCGAATGCCTGTTCATGTGCAGCTAGGATTAGTGCCTCAGTGCTGTCTTTCAGTTATACTACTGGTAGGATTTCGTAATGTGAGCCATATCCACTATCTGCCGGTGGTACACCCTATGGAGAGGTTTGTCTTGCTATGTAACCTCATTTTCTGCATCTGTTGTTATCTAAGGAAATCTTTGTGATGTAATTGTGGATGCTCTGTGTTTCATTCAGGACGGTGACCTTGACACTCATCAGGCCTGACCTCCTTCTTTCTGGATGTTGTGCAGTATTGGTGCTGGATATCGGGTGGAATCCTTCATTAATAGTGAGTAGTTTCTCGTTCTCAAACTCTATGATGACCAACTCTTCTCTTGGCCAGGTTATTATTCCAGCTGGTTACTTGTTCTTGCCATTGAGCTGGGACTTAGGAACCTGTCTGACTCTCTGGAGGTACTTTTTCTATCCTCCTTGCCTCTTCCTCATGGTTGCCATGTGTTTGTGGTACCCCTAGGTACTTGTAACTGTTCTCTACAACTCCTTTTTGACATGTTGGTACTTGAACTCCTTCCGTCCTAATCACCTTTCCTCTTTTTGCTACACTTATGCAGTCAGACATTTTTATGTCATTGCCTCTATATTCCAGTTAGGTGGATGAGTGAGTCAATGTCCCACACACTCTTTGCATACAGCTTCATGTTGTCAGTGTAGAGTAGATGGCTGTGGTAGCTCCTCTTTTGAACCTGTGTCCGTATCCACTCTTCATTATCGTCTGGCTAAAGGGGTTGAGGCTTATGCAGAACAGCACTTGGGATAGTGCATCACCTTATGTATATGCTACATTTGATGTTCACTTATGTTATTGTCCTGGAATTAGCTTCTAGAGTGTCTTGTTGACCTTGCATAGAGCCAAAAATTCCAGTATCCAAATGTGTGGCATTGTGTCATAGAATTTCTTGTAGTAATCCAGACTGCACACAGATTGGTCTGTCTGGTCTTAGAATCCTGTGTGACTGCTTTGTTCACCAGCAGTTGGTGTTTTGATCCTCTGGTGTTGTTTCCAATCCCCTTTTAAGTATTGCTTATGTACTGACTTATATGCCCATCGATCTATGATGCCCGACAGGGAGACAGATTATTGATCGGTAGTTAGATGGTGTTGTTCCTTGTGAGGGTCCTTCATGACCAGTATTTATGCTGCTAGGCGTTCATCTAGTTTCTGTATACAGTAGGTGTGGATGATATCAAGTTCTGGGGTTGACCAACTCTACTATGTGGGCTAATCGTTATTGGATATCTTCCAGGCAAAAAAAAAATGAGGTTTTGTTACAGTATATAATTATAAACTGCATAAACCTGCCACAATGCCAATTGGCCCAATTGGCAGATCCTATCCTAGCAGCCTAATGCCTGCTCTTATGAGATTAATCCAATTACTTGGGAAATGCTTCCTCCTGGGACTTTCTGCAGTAAAAGGTTAAATTGGGCCATGGAATGAGGCATCTGTGACAGGGAGGGGTGCAAAACTAGGGAGTTGGACTGGACTCCCAAATATGTCTAAATATGAAACCAAGAGGCTGCACTCACCTGAACGTGCTTACCTTATTAGGCACTGCTGGGGCCAATTCATACAACATACTAGATCCAACACACTCATTTATGAAAAAAAATATGAGCAGCACTGTGTGGGGCAAGAAACATGATTTATTACTTCGATTTTTCACATATGAGAGTATCCCCATATTAGAAGTCGGAGCTTCAATTTCTATGGTAAATACATTTGTATTCACTGTAGTTTGCACATTTAACTGGCGTCTGGCGCCCTCTGCTGTATGTAGTGCTTTCTTTATACACTTTTCTTTTGAATTTTTACAGACATTTGCACCTGTGGTCCCAAGACTGCAAATGGAGATGCCCTATGCTAGAGATGAACATAAATAAGAAATAGCAGGTGCAGGAACAGGGAAGATGGCGACCGCTGCTGTGATCGAGTTCCAGAGAGCGCAAGATATGGTGATGACGGACAAAGCGGCGAGCATAGATATCCTGCAATCTATAGTGAAGTGAGACATCCAGGAAAGCGAGGAAGGAGCCTTACGTGTTAAGGAGCAAAGCATTTTGGACTTGGGAGGGCTTCCTGCCAAGACTGGGCAGGCCGCAGAACTCGGTGGTCTTTTGAAATATGTACGCCCATTTCTTAATTCTATCAGCAAGGCAAAAGCAGCCAGGCTTGTGCGATCTCTTTTGGACTTGTTCCTCGATATGGAAGTAGCAACTGGCCAGGAGGTGGAACTGTGCTTAGAATGTATTAAATGGGCCAAGGCACTAGAGGCTTGGCTTGTATCCCTTTACTTTGCTACTTAACACTACCAGGAGGCATTGCAGTTAGGTGCACAACTGTTCTGTGAGCTAAAAAAGATGGATGACAAAGCTCTTTTGGTGGAAGTTCAGCTACTGGAGAGCAAGACCTTCCATGTCCTTAGCAACTTACCCAAAGCCCGAGCTGCACTGACTTCTGCCCGTACCACGGCCAATGCCATTTATTGCAAACCAAAGTTGCAAGCTGCCCTGAACATGCAGTCAGGCATAATCCATGCAGCAGAGGAGAAGGACTGAAAAATGGCTTACTCCCATTTCTATGAGGCCCTTGAGGGGTATGACTCCATAGACAGCCCAAAAGCTATGACAAGTACAAGCTGCTGTGTAAGATCATGTTAAATACGCCTGAAGACGTGCAAACACTAGTGAGCGGGAAGCTAGCTTTGCATTTATGCTGGACGGCAGACAGAAGCACTGAAGACTGTGGCACAAGCCAGCAAGAACTGTTCATTTGCCAACTTTGAGAAGGCATTGACAGATTATAAAGCAGAGTTAAGGGAGGATCCTATAATCGCTACACACCTGGCCAATGATAACTTACTGGAACAGAACCTCATCCGGGTGATTGAACCTTTCTCCAGAGAACAGATTGATCACATATCAGGACTTATCAAACTGTCAAAGCCTGAAGTAGAACGCAAACTCTCTCAGATGATCTTAGACAAGAAATTTCACGGCATTCTTGACCAAGGAGAAGATGTCCTAATAATTTTTGACAAGCCACCAGTAGATAAAACATATGAGGCTGCTTTAGAGAACATCCAGAACATGAGCAAAGTGGTGGATTCTCTTTACAACAAGGCCAAGAAACTCACATAGGCCCTGGACTCATCAGTCATTGAAAATTCTGAGCAGCAGGAGCAACAGACACCTATTCTCATGCGGGATGGTGGATCAGGGCAGGGGGCCATTGAGGGGAATCCTTTTATTTTTTTATCATCCCTCCTAATACATTTTGTTTTCACTATATAAAAAAAAAAATCCTGGCTGCAAGTCTGCAACATTAAGTACTGGGGCCCTTACCTATTTCTGGGTCTATATATTTGTACTGAGTGAACAAAACCACATTGCGGGAGGGGTTGTGGTAATTAACATTTGCTTGTGTCATAGGGATTTTTTTGTGTACTTATCTAAAGTGGATAAATGGGGGTGGTGGGGTTCCTATGAACTGGCCTGTGTTCCCAGGCAAATAAGATACCAGTGTTCCCAAATTCTTAATTTCTGTGTCACAGTTTTAAAACACAGCCAACTCCAATTGCATTCTCATATCTGGGTATGGAAGGAGTGCAAAGGCCAAAGATCTGCTTCATGGGAACCCTACTTTTTAAAAAATAATTGGGATTGCTGCTTGTAGGGATATATGTCTGTATATAGCTATATATAAATATATATTTTTGCCCCCGTCAAACTCCTATCTAAATTATGCCCTTTTCCAGCTGATGCCCAGTTAATATTTGGATCTTTGCCATTCCATGAAAGGTGCACAATTTCCACCAAGCTGAAACCAGAGTATATCTGATGTTCAGATGTGTTGCAATAAATGTATATAAAAAAAGAAAAAGCACTAATTCCAAAGGTGATGAGACACATAAAGGGAAGATTAATCAGTATGTGAGAAATTAATCATAACAGGTGTTCCTGAAAAACGAAGGCACATGAAGGGGTTTTAAGTACGGGAAGAGTATTTCAGATTGTGGAACGTACATCTGTACCAACTGCCTAGATAATTGGCATCATGTGAACGTGCATTCCAACAGAACCCAGCCAGAAGCAGAAAGAGTCGGCATAAAGCCAAGGCACAGCTCTTACTGGAACAAGAGTCTGACATGAAGTTAAGACATGGGACAAACTCGCATTCCAAGTGTACATGAATTGGCTCAGAGAAATAAATGTTACCTAATGAGAACATGGAACGCACATGCGTTCCAAATAAAGAATACTCAACACATTATACATAAGGAAAATAAAAGAAAAAATATAAAATAAAAAAATTGCCAAAAACTAAATGAGAAAAAACACAGGTCCCACCCAAATCCATAAAAAATAAATAAAAATAAACTCAAAAATGGAGATAAACATAACAAAAGGTACTCAACAGTGATATATAAGGGGAAAAAAAATACTGGTAGAGGATCGTTTTTTTTTTTTTATTAGTGATGAAAGTTCAAAATAAACAACGAGAATTGTTCTATACTATCGAGCACAAGTGATAACAATATCACAAAAAGAAAAATAGAACAAACTGGGAAATGAATATAGAAGCATCAAATGCAAAAAGGTTCTTCCAAGTCATCAGTTCTTTGACAAATCATGTTATAACACTGACAAAGCATGGCACTGTACCGCAAATCTTGGAAAAGACCAGAACATAGGTCTTTAAGGCATAGCCAACCACTCCACCGCTGACAGCCGCATAAGAAAAGACACACTTACTGAGAGACAGACACACACTCTCACTGACAGACACACACACACAGTCACTGACATACAAACACTTACTGACACACACACAAACGCTGACAGACACACTCGCTGACACACACACAAACACTGACAGACACATTTAATGACGTACACACTTATTGATAGTAAGTGTGTGTGTGTGTGAGTGTGTGACAGACACACAAACACTGACAGTCACACTGACAGACACACACTGATAGACACACACTGACAGACACACACACACACACACACGCTTACTGACAGACACACACACTGACAGTCACACTGACAGACACACACTTACTGATAGACACCCTTATTGACACACACACACACACACACTTGCACAGTCTTGCACACACTCACAAATTCATTCTATTGCTTGTTGCTCCTACCTTTAGGAGTCCTCTGGGTCCTCTCTCTGGGGTCCAGTGGCTTTGATGCTCTTCCTGCTCCTCTCTCTTCTCTCACGCTGTTTAGTGATTTGGGGCCGGAATTACTTCATATTCCGGCTCCCGGCATCACCACAGAGGGAGCTGGAAGATCATCAGCTCAGACAGCGCTCCCTTGCCTCCTGACTCGGTCCTCACCCCAGCCCGGTCCGGTATATTGCTGAAGAGTAGGCACCTGCCTCTGGGATAAGCAGGTGCCAATTTTGCATTCCTAAATAAGCGCCGCTCCAGGGGCGCCCTTAGGTGGCTGGCTGGCCACCTGCTGGGCTCCCTGTGACAGGCTATTAGCCTGCTCCGCATAGCACCCCCCAATCTCCCGGTGCCTGGGCATGGTGCACCCTGTGTGCACGCCCACAATCCTTCTATTGTGGGGGTGGTGCACCCCCACAATCCTTCTATTTCGCCTAAAAATTTTTTTTACAAAAATGGAAATTCTTTTTTCTGTTCCCCTCTATCTCTCTTTCTTATCTTTTCCTACTTATTATTAGCTTTCCCCTTCGCCACCTTCCTTCTATTAATCTCTCCTAATTTTCTCTCCATCAAAACTATCATACTATACTTGGCTAATACTGATCATTCCCCACCCACATCTCATCAGCCAAAGCTTACACACCAATATCAACAGGTGGTTAAATGGATCTAGCACAATACTTTACTCTTCCCTCGAGCGCTCAGTTTATTAAATAATTAAGTGGCACACAACTTGCACCCATGCTAGAAGCTCCCCTCTAAGACCCACAGGTCAGAGTTACATAAAAACACATCTAATAGCAGTAAAAGAAACATCCCTAGGGGCATATCAAGGGACAACCTAAACCACGAGGTCCAACCACCCTAGCCCTACACTGAGCACACAAGACAACACTGCATAAGCTAACGTCATAGCTCAGTGGGCCTCTGAGAACAAAATATACGGATTCTATGTAATGATTCCCTTATATTTCATAATTTAACACGCATAAGAAATAGCACCCTGTTTTGAGACGCAAATTATGAATATTGCACTGTTGATGCCTAATGAGGGTATGTTTACTCGAACTTCTGTAGTAAAACAAATGTTAATGTCCTGTTCCTCTGTTCACCTCGAACTGTATAACTTTCTACCTATTGACAAAAAACAATAAACAAAGATTGACAAAAACAATATAAATGTAGTTACAGTTCATACAATCTCTATCTTGGGAACACAAGGTCTATTATACAGGTAAAATAGCCGTGTGATCATTTGCAGGTTTTATAAATACACCTATTGCATTCTCTGGATGCCGTTTCAAACACTCTTTTTTGAAGAGCATCTTAGAGCAGGCCTGTTGCTTGCGTATATTTAAGAATGGACAGTAAGTGGAGCTGTTACAGTTGTGCATTGTTACAGAATCAAGTACTGTTTGTCCAATCTCCCGCAATACATTCCTAACTTCCCTCCCACATCCACCTTCCATCTCAGTTTGCTTACTTCCCCCTTGATGCACTAATAATCTGTTGTGTGCCTCTACAGTCATAATTTGTATCACTGTATCATTGATCCACTCTTGAGAGGTGAATTAAATTTACGTGCACTCTCTCTGCCTGTGTCAATGTGTAGGGGCTACCCAACACACAGGGATTCAAACTTAGGTCCTAATCGGTACAATAGGATAGATGTGTATTACTGATCCTGAGAGTGTCTGGTGCCTACAAAAAAAAAAAAAAAAAACGTACAAAAGGATAAGTCCTGCGCTCACTCCCATCACTCCTGGGCGGCAGCAACAACCACCGTACACATCAGCCCCAATATATACAGTAAAAACCAAAGAAAAAGTTACCTGCGCTCTCTCCTAAGTCCCTATGTATATTTAGACAAATTGAGGTCACACTTACGCTTTCACTTCAGTCAGTTCTCTATTAGCTTTTTCTCTGTTTGTCCACGTGTGATTGGTGCCTCACTTCCCCCCACTCCACTGTTGAATTCCCCCAAAGGTTTTTTTGTGTTTTTGTTTTCATGTATTTTTTTGGACACAGTTGTCTTTACATTGTTTCCCTCTTGTGGTTTGAATACTCTTCACATACCATGACTCAATGTATGACTCATATATAAATATGTAGACAAAATAAATAAATAGTATATATATTTGTTTGTGTGTATGTGTGTGTGTGCATGCACGCGAGTAAATGCTATTAAAACTTGTACTGCAGAAAGACACAGATCAGAGAGGTCCAACTGAGTGGAATAATGTTATAAGAGCAGTTAATAGGTGATAATAAAATAGCAATACACTGATTTTGTAACAGGTTTTATTCAATATATAATCCTATTTTGTGGCTGCACCACAGTATATACCTAAAATGATTGGTTTTATTAACTTTGCTTTAAAACAAGTTTGGAATGGAGTACACTGTATTGGAGTCAAATGGTCCCATATGCCCATTTTTATATATAAATATACAAAAATAAGTCCTGTGCTCAAACTCTCACTACCCATGGGTGGCAATAACAACCACAGTATACAACACGAATACATACAATAAAAAAACAAAGAAAAGAGTTACTTGCACACTATCCTAAATCCCTATCCACACTTTTATATATGCATGTTCAGGTGACAGTTCTCTCCCTGTAATACATATTTGACTGCCCAGAATAAATGTGAGACCCTCTCTAATTATAGGATGTACATGAGAGTGTATTTTAACAAAGCTTTTTATATGACAGATTGTCTAACCTCTAGCTGACACTGTGTTCTTTGGTACATTACATTGTCCTCGAAATGTTCTCCCAATCTGATAAATTGCCCCTACGGAGCATTCTTTACAAAATGTAGCATGGACAATTATATTAGTTGATTTTTTTATGAAGGATGTGCTCAGACATGGTGATTTTGGAAGCAAAACCTCACATTTCAGAGAATAAACTGCAAGCCGTGACATATTCTGTTAAAATAAATT